CTGGGCTAACATCTGTGCCCATCTTCCTCCACTTTATATAGGACACCGCCACAGCATGGCTTGCCAAGCAGTGCGTCAGTGTGCGCCCGGGATCTGAACCAGCGAACCCCAGGCTGCCGCAGCGGAGCACACACGCTTAACTGCTTGCGCCACTGGGCCGGCCCCCAAAACCAAATTTTTAAAAAAAATTTTTAAAACGAAATTAACAAATTAATATATTGCAAGTGAAGAAAATAAACAGGAGGTAGAGATAAGAGATTAGAGAGGGTCCAATTTAGGATGATCAGGGACAGCCTCTCTGAAGAGGTGATACATAAATGGGGGATGAATAAGGTGAGAAAGAGGCAGCCAGGTGAAGAGCTGTGGGAGGAGTAGGCCCATAGAGGGAGCAGCAAGTGCAAAGGCCCTGGGGTGGTCATGAGGAGCTACCAGGAGGCCAGTGTGGCTGGAGAGTGCTGGAGAATGTGCCCTCCGAGCACCTGCATTGGAGACGGACTCCCCACCCCAAGGCCTGCCGAGGACTGGGTCCAGCCCCCACTCTCATTGGAGCTGCTGCCCCTCTCTAGACCTCAGTTTCCTGGTCTGTGAAATGCAGGAGAGGGACCCCCTTTGTCTGAAAGTCACCCAGATCCTATTATCGTATAAATCTGTGGTCAAGGGCCCTGTCGTGTCCACCACCCCGAGCTGGGTGCCACTGGGAGAGTCAGAAGGAGGAAGAGAAAATAAGGGGCTTGGCCTCAGGCTAAGTGGGGGGTTAGGAGAGTCTCCTACAGGGGGTCTGCCAGGGGGACTCAGGTGCAAATACTGGGCACTGACCTCATGCCTCCCCCATGCTAGTTCTACATGCACCACCTCTGAATCCGAGTGAGTTCCATTATGACCCTCAATTAACAGACCTGGAAACTGAGGCTCAGAGAAGTAAAGTGCCTTGCCTAAGGTTACACAGTGACTTGGGGTACAGGCCAAGCTGCTGGAGCAAAAAGACCCCAAAACTCAGTGGGTTAAGTATTTCTCTTCCCTGTAAGTCTGGAGCTGAGCAGTCCACGGCTGGCGGGCAGCTCTGCCATCCTCAGCCACAGCTTCCCCCTCTGGGGCCAGGGCAGCGGC